CCCCCCCCCCCCCCCGTCTTTTACAGGATGAGCCTCTTGCTGATGCACATGCTATGGGAAATACTGCCAACAACATGGCTCTCAACATGATCCAGCACTCTCTCTCAAACACACACGTACATACAAAGTGCGCTCTGTGCAGCGTGGGTGACGAGGAATAATGCTGACTGTCTGCGGTTTCCCCTTTCTGCTCATCCTGCCCACCCTCCCCATGAACAGGGTGACATCTGGGTTTTCTGTTCCTTAGGGGACCCCATGGAAGGACACACACGGGGCTCACCTGCAGGCAATGTGGAGAACTCCACGAAGGCCTCCTTCTTCTCCCTCTGCTCCAGGGGGAGCTGCCATGGCATCTGGTGGGGTTTGGCCAGAACCTTCACCTTGTAGGCCATGTTGGGCCTGAGGTTAAAGAACTGGTACTTATACCTTGCAGCCTTGACAATGTCAAATTCCTCCTCATTGAGGAAGATGACGTGGCTGTAGTTGCTGTTGGTTGGGAGCCAGGAGAGCTGGGCTGAGATCTGTGTGATGTTGTCTACCCGCAGGTGGGAGGGGGCCACCACCACGTCCTTGCCCACCAGCAGTGTGCACTGCAGCTCATCCGAGCTGCCCCGGCTGGTGATGCACTGCACAGAGATGCGGTAGGTGCAGGCTGCCATGTTGAGCTTCTCGATGAGGGCCTTGGTTCTGCTCCCCAGCGTGAGGCTCATGCGCGTCTCCTGGTCCACCAGCACATTGTAGCTGCTCACTGTGCCCCACCCCGGTGGGACTGCTGGAGGCTCCCAGCCCACAATGACACTTTTGGCGAGTTGTTTGATAAGGGTGATTTTTCTAGGGTAAGGCACAATATCTTCTCCAATGTCATCAATGTTCATGTCCAGCGTCCCCGCCCCATTGTCCGTGATGCCTGAGCCCATGTGAGTGGGGGAATGGAGGTCGAGGATGTTCTCTCCCTCCAAGCCGATGCCGGAATGGTTGATGAAGTTCTGATCCTGTTCATTCCCCAGCGTCCCTGCCAACCGCGACTCATTGTCCTGAACAAAATCCACAAAGTTGGAGGGCACCAAACCCCTCTGCCCATCCAGGAGCTCTCCTGTTGGGTACAAGGACAGGGTTATCACCCACCATCCCATTGGGGGCCCCGAGGTCCTGCAGCTTCTCCTTGATAGGACCATAGGCAAAAGCAACAGGATTGTCCTGGAATTCCTTAGCTCTTTGCAGGAATCTACTCAAATGTCACCTCCACACCATCTATCTAAAGTAACTCAGTTTATTTTTCTCCATAATATATATCACCATCTCACACGATCCTGCGTATCTATCTGTGCACATATGTTGACTACCTCCTCCCCACTGGGACAACGCACATGAGGGCAGGGACCACGGGACAACTGACTGGCCAGCCCTGCCATGACACCTGGCACACAGTAGGTGCCCAGTAAATATTTGTTAGGAGGATGAACAAACGTGTCAAATCTGTGACTTTTAGAGGTTAAGGAAAAAAAACCCAAAAATCTTACTATTGTTTTTGACTGATCAGTCATACGAATAGGAGTTAAAAGGTGGTTCTGCACCCCAGCCCACTTACAAAAGACTGGATCCATCTCTGTGTCTCAGTGAATTCCTAATGTGTCCATTTGATGTGAAACAGAACTATCAATGTAGTGTCAGAACCACCTGTGAGTGGCAAAAAAAAAAAAGAAAAGGCATCAAACTAGCTCTTGTGGCTATGGTTGGTCTTCTTATTTTGTGGAACAGTCTAACTTTCATGTGCTATCTTTATTAGTGGCATTTAAAAGGCTGCTAACAGCAGAGGATAAGGAAACTGAAAAGTATCTAGAGGAGCTTTCAAGATTAGGCAGTTCCTGGGATCTCCCAGCCCAGAGCGGGAAAGCAGTGTTTCCCCATTGGTTGAAGGGACTCCCAGAGAGGCTGGTTGGAGGCCAGGTGACTGGGGAGGCTGGGAAACACTGAATGGTGGATTCCACTCCCAATAGACCCACTGACTCAGGGGAATGTGAGCTGTGCAACCTACTTTTAATCAGGCCTACAGAAGGTCTAAGTGGGCACATGCATGCTGCGAATGTTCCAGAGATTTCAACAAGGGATTCTAACAGCTGCCTTGGGCACATACTTCTACACTGGTGTGCAAATTGGTGGTAATAATGTGGATTTATGCTAAGAATTCAAACTGTTTTGCCACCAGCCATGGTGCAACTTCTTGAGTGGAATATCCAAAGCAATAGCAGTGGTTAGTTCCGGTAAACTAAGGGTAAGCACATCAGCCCCCTGCGGGGTTTCTGTTCATGGATGTCAACAGAGGACCTGATCTCACCCCAAGTAAATGCCCATGAAAAGAGCCAGGTGTTTCCGTCCTCTCTAAGAAAACACCACATGGCCATGAAAGAGAGAACTGTTAGATTAACATGAAATATTCCTTCTGTTCAGAGAAAACAGGACAAAACCAAGAGCATCTGTGTGTCCAGAGCAGTGGAGACTTTAGAGAACTGATGAATCAAATCCTCTAGAATGTCACTTGTGGAGCTGCTGGTGCTGTCACAGGGTCACCCTTGAGCTAACAGGTGACAAGAGGTGAGGCATTCCAGATGGAAGGTTCACATTTCCTGGTTCCAAATTGTGGGGGGTGACTCTGGGAGTGATCAGGTGGGACAGGGGGGGACCCCCTAAGTTAACAACAGGGCCTCCAGGTCAGTGGGGTCACTCTCTATGATGCTGAGAGCCAGGCATGTGAGATTGCCTGGAACAGGCCCTGCCAGGAGGATGAAGTTGGTGTACCCCGAGGTGCTGGAACAGTCAAATGGGACATAGAGGGTCCATCAGCCCCACATGTCTGCAAAGAACTGCCAAAAGCCCTGCAGAGTTCAACATTATAAAACACCTGCCGAGCAGTGTCAGAGGTCTGCTGGGATTAGCGTTCTTGCCAATCGTCAGAATGGGGGTAAACCTGGTAACATTAAGAGTGCGAGGGGTGTGGGGGTGGGAGGTATGTCTATCAGGGCCCCTGGACAAGTTAGTGTGGGGGGTGGTATGGCTGGTCTACGTCAACCGGCAGCCATGTTCCAACAGAGACCTTCATAGAATCCGTCTTCATCCATGTCTCCATAGACGTAGAGGTATTTTCCTGCCGTGAGGGGCAGCTCAGCTTCTGGGTTTTCATTTGGCCCATCGAAGGGGTTGTAACTAGAAAAAACACATTGTGTTCATCAGAGGCCCCATGTGGAGGCTGCCCCATAGCCCTTCCCTTGCAGAACGCTGCTTCTTTCCCATTGCTAAGAAGTCACAAGCCACACGGTGGCTCAGGCTTGTGAGTTCTCTGCACACAGAAGATTCAGGGTGTCGTGGGCTCACACACACAGATTTAAAGTAAAAGGGTAACTCTGCAGCCACGTGTTCACTCAGAATCCTTTATACCAGATGACATATTTATGATTTTGATGTTTTGTTCACTCCAGTCTCTTCTACCATAACTATAATTTCCAAATTAATAAGCAAACACAAAGAAAAATAACTCCATAGTCTTTCAAGATATATAATTTAGCAGAGGTGGAATTATATTATATACATGATCTAGTGATTCACTTATTTTTTGACTTTGCAATATAGCACCCTATACTTCCACCTAGTGAAAGATTCTATCATCTCCTTTTTAACTGATGTATAGTATTCCACTGAACAAGCTAGCATACTTTTTAAACCAGTTTCCTAATGTTGGGCATTGATGTTACTTCTAACTTTTGGGTAATATAATCAGTGTTGCATCAAATACCCTTATAAACACATCTTCACACATTTTCACAATTTCTTCCTAGGATAAATACTGGGAAGTATACTTGTTTGGTCAAAGGTGAGCACATTTTATTTTTTTTATTTTTATTTTATTTTATTTTTTTTTGTCTTTTTCCGTGTCCGGCATCAGATCGCAACCCTCAGTGTTGCCCCCGTACCGGACCGGGGACCGGCAACGGGATTGCAACCCTCGGTGTTGCTCCCGCGCCTCGCTCAGCCAGTGAGCGGAAACCGGTCTGGATGTGGGATCCGAACCCTCGGGCGGGAGCGCCGCCGCGCTTCCGAAGTGGCGCACTTATCCAGTGCGCCACCAGGCCGGCCCAAAGGTGAGCACATTTTTAAGGTGTTGGGTATGTACTGCCAGAATGCCCTGAGAAATAGATTCACCATTTTCCCCTTCCCTGCCCCACCCCCGGGAGTATAAGTGTTCTTATTCTCAAGTCCTCAGTATATTGGAATTAACATTTTTTAAAGTCATGTCCAACTTGAAAAATCGAATATATAAAACAAACTCAGATGGATTTGGGATTTCCTAATGAAAAGGCTAATTAATTTAGAATAACATAAAAGGCCTCAATTAAAATAAAAATAACATTACTGATAGTTGGAGATGATAGTGAGGCAGTGTATTATTACAATGACACTATAATAATGATTATATCAATAGTTCTGGGCAGGATATCAACACTTCCATGTACATGGACCATTGAAACTCAGTGAGGAAAAGAAAGATATTAGCCCCAATTTTAACGACCACGTGGGGTGAGACAACTCATTCAAAGTCACAAGTTTATTAAGTGGAGGGGGCAGAATCAGAATTGAGACTTTCTTGCCCTGTCTTGTGTGATTTTGACTGTATCACATCACTTCTGTCCCTCACTGTCCAAGTCCAGAGTTCTGTGAGCGTCATGCAACAATCTGACAACTTCCACTAAGTCAGCCCAGGGGCAACGTGCATAAGGAAGGGACACAGACAAAACTATGAAGTAACTCTTGGGGGTGGGATGAGAAGGGACAAGAGTTCCTGGAAGAGGGAATGGCATGTGCAAAAGCTCAGAGGCAGGGATCAGGGTTCTTCTGGGCCTGAGAGGAGAGGGATGAAGGCTGGCAGGAGCCAGATTGGTGTGGATCTAATCTCAAGGGCTATGAGATATCGAGAAAGAGTTTAAGCTAGGGAGAGATATGATCACATTTTCATTTTACAAAGAGATCTCTGGTGCTGTGTGGACAGGCGCCTGGTGGAGGAGCTGGGGTAAAGTACTTGGATTAGGGAGGACTTAAGGGGTAGTGGAAATGGGGCTTGCCTGGATATTGGGGTGAAGGAGTGCATCCAGGATGCCTCGCGGTCTTCTGGCTTCTCAATGGTGGGCAGGGATAAATTCCCCAAGCGGGGGCTGTTGGGGGGTGCTGGCAGTGCGTGGAGAAGGGGGAGCGGGGTTTAGTTTTGGGTGTGTTCCGTTGACAAAGCAGAAGATATGAGCTCAGGGAAGATGGGCTGGAGGTAGAGGCCTAGAGGGGTCGGCATGCAGAAGGTGAGAAGATGTGGGTGCTGGGCAAGAGTTCACAAGGAGGGCGGAGGAAGGAAGGAGAAGACCCAGCAAAGGCCACATCTCCAGGAAAGCCCAGATCGAGCTCACAGGAAGAGAAAGCTCAGCAGGCAGAAAAGACAGGGTAGAAGGTCCCAGAGAAGCGGAAAGGCAAGCTGAGGAGCCAAGGGGGAATGTGCATCGAGAAGGATAGATGAATAAAATGTGGCCCATCCGTACAAGGGACTATTATTCAGCCATAAAAATGAACAAAGCACCGATGTGCTAAAACAGAGACAAGCCTTGAAGACGTCATGCTCAGTGCAAGACACAGCCACAAAAGACCACATCAAGTGCTTCCTGTATGGTTCCATTTATATGGAATGTCCAAAACAGGGAAATCTACAGAGACAGCTGGGGTGGGGAGCAAAGGGGTGTGGTGACAGCTGAAGGGCAAGAGGTTCTTGTTGAGGTGAAGAGAATGTTCTAGACTTGACCTTGGTGATGGTTGCATGTGTCTGTGAACACAGTGAAAAGCCCTGAGTTGTCCACTTGAATGGGTGAGTTGTGTGGTGCGTGGATTATATCTCAGCAAAGCTGTTAAGAAAGAATGATAGGGTGATGGGTGTGTCTGCTGCCGCTTGGTTTTGGGGTGGGGATGCCCATGGGAGCCCTCACAGGTGGCCCCTGCTGTGCGGCTGGATGGAAGAGCACAGGAGGAGGAAAGTGTCATGTCACGGAAGCTACAGGACAGCAGAGGGGAGTGAGGCTTTAAGTCTGAAGAAACTTCTAAGCAGGTTGTTGAATAATAACAGTTAGGTGAGATATTAATTAGCCCCAGGGGGTGGGGAGGACAAAAACCACATGTACCTTCAAAGCCACTTCTTTGGTGACTCTAAGAGTATTTCAGGAACTCAAATGCAAAATCCTCCCTGGGACTGGCCTTATGGGTCATCAAGTGCTTCCGTTACCTGAGCATCAGAAGTCTGTTTGCATTGGTGGCATTGGTGGGTTACTAATTAGCAGGAAATGATGCACTGATCAGCATAACAGGGTTTGGCAACACCTCTCAATGGAGAAAGTGAAAGGTGTTCAAGACATATGGACTGCCGTGCACAAACAAAGTTTAAGGATGTGGAGAAAGCGGCATCTGCACCTCTGGCTATGGCTCCTGAGCAGTTCCAGGTGCAGACATAGGTTAGGGGGACCCTGGTGCCTGATGCCAGCTGAACAGGCAGTGGTGTTTGCATCTGGAATATCATCATGTTTGCCCTGGGCCAAGCCTGCATGCAAAGAGTTGTAGGGGAGTCTAAAAGGACAAGAGGCTGAGTTTTCATTGAGTATAAAGAAAAGGAGGGATGAGCAGTGCTGTGTCATGCTTGTGACTAATTCATTGATGTCTGTGGGTGCTGCAGGGTTTGGTCTGAGGCTGGCTTTCTTCACAATCAGATGGTGGAGTCTCAGGGAGGTGGCTAAGCCACCCCCATTCAGATTTGGCAGCGGCTCCCATAAGGAATCCAAGAGCCTGCCTGACTCAGTTGCTCACATTTCTTCTCAACAGGCATGGAATTGAAGGTCCTTTCAAGGAGAGGGCAGCTACGTGGCTGCACCTGCTGGGAGATGCAGCCTGGATGCTGGACAGGAAGCGGGGATGCTGCAAAGGAATGATGGGGGCCTCTGGACAGCTGGTTCCTGGCCCTGACTTCCAGTTTCCTACCTGCTGTGGTTGACTTGTGTCCCCCCAAAAGATATGTGGGAGTCCTAACCCCTGCTACCTGTGGATGAGGGTATTTGGAAATAGAGTCTTTGCAGATATAATTGAGTTAAGATGAGGTCATCCTGAAGTAGGGTGGGCCCTGATCCAGTGACTGGTGTCCTTGTAAGAAGAGGAGAAAACACACAGAGACATAGACAACAGGAGTCCATGTGAAGATGGAGGCAGAAGCTGGAGTGATGAGGCCACAAGCCACGGAGTGACAGGAGCCCCCAGTAGCTGGAAGAGGCAGGAAGGACCTTCCCCTGGAGGCTTCAGGTAGTGTGGTCCTGCCAACACCTGATTTCAGACTCCCAGGCTTTAGAAATGTGAGAGAATCAACCTTTTGTTTTAAGCCACTCACTGTGGTCACATGTTATAGAAACTAAGACACAACCCACACTCTGCTCACCAGAATTCTGCTCATCTTCCAAGACCCAGCTGAAGGGCCGCTTTCTCCTCAGAGCCTGGGAGAAGGGCCCAGTCAGCTCGGGGGGCGTCCCCAGACCCACCCACTCACCCATTCCCAAGGGCACCGACGAGCCGCATTCTTACCTATAGCGGGCAACGCACAGGTGGACTTTCCCCGAGTATCTCTGCTTTGAGGTATTGGAATTCCGTTCATTCTCCATCTATGAAAGACACAAATGGAGAGCCGGCTTATGGAAGCTGTAGGCTTCACATTTCACTCCTGTAATACATGGGAAAACTTTCCACAGTCTCACTGGGCTTTGGGATGATGACCTCAGACTGGAACTCCCAGAAGATGCTGCTACCCACACTCTCAGTCTCATGTGCAAGCCCTGGATGAAGCAGGTCCCTAGCGTGGACTACTAGTCACACAGGAGTGACATTTGTAAAGAATACAGTCCCCAAACTGCAAGATGAGGCATGAGGTGAGGCCCTTTCCCCAGTGTGATTTAGGGTGTGAGGTGCTTGCCGTGCCAGACCCCAGTAGGCTCTTTGGAAGACACTGACTTGAGTCCTCAGGGGTCAAGGGGCTTGGTCTATGGAAGGAGACCACCCTCCTGCATCAGAAGGTGCCAGTGCTCCAGGGAGACTTCATGGGGAGGGGGCGTGAGGGGCTCGGTCCTACCAACTCCCCCACCCTCCCTTCTCACTGTCTCAGGGCTGCAGCCTGTGGAGATTCTGCCTATGGGGGTTTCTTCTGACGATCTTGGGGGTTGGGGATGGTCTTCTCCCATGGGAGTGAGAGTAAAATGTGATAACATGCATTGCCCCTCCCCCGGAAGGGGAAGGATAGTGACTGCTCTTGTCCCCACCCATAATGCGTTCTCTATGTAGAAGCCACAGTGGACTTTTCAAACAGAAATTAGACCATATCACTCCCACCTTAAAACCCTCCCATGGCTTCCCACTGGACTGAGACTGAAAACCCAGTGCTTCTCTGGGGCCCATGGCCTCCTCTCCTCTCCCCCACCTCCTGGCTCCACTCCAGTCTGATGGCCTTCTACTGGCTCCTCCTCATCGGTGCAAAGTGACACAAATGCCCAGTGGCCTTCTGAGAAGGCCCTTTCTTCGCCTAACCAGCCCCCATCTCATTGCCCACGAGTCACACTGACTTGTGGTGCTATCTTCACAACACTCTCCATGAGCTGTATTTTTAACACATTGACTTGTTAATGGTCTGCACCCCCGACCCCAGAACACCATCCCCAGGAGAATAGGAGCCTCATCTGTCTGTTCACAGTGGGGTCCCCGTGCCCAGCACATAGCAGGTCACCAAAGACTGGCTCAGGGATGAACGAGAGTGAGGGAAGAGCCCAGGAGGGAGTGAAGGGGGGGTAAGGAAAATGGCGTGGAACTGTCAATGTCCCACCAGACAGAAATGGTGCAGGTGGGCCAGGTGCTCCCCTGCCAGGGCAGGACTCACGTCTGATTCAAATCTGCATCTTGGGCTACCAGATCTCGACAGAAAGGTGGGCTTGATGGACACAGGCTCCGGCTTGTCACTGGGAAGTGGGAGGGGCCGGATATATTCACCAATCGCAGAACAACTTCCAATAGCACTCTCCTGACCTGGTCATAAACATTAACACAAGTTGAAAAAAAGATATAAGTAAAGTAATAAAAGCACATTGGTCATTTGCCTTTCCAAGGTGCCTTTCCTCTCTTGGGCAACAGCCATTGATTTTCATTTTGGGTTCCACCCATCTCTTATTCTTAATTTGCATAGGCTGGTCTGACCCCCATCCCTGGTCTGGGCCCATCCACCTGGCAGAGTCCACCTCCGGATGTAATGATTGTTTGGTGGTGAGAGGGGTGTGGCACATGATCAGAAGGTCAAATCAGAGAGAATTTAATGGGAGTCATTGGAGAAGAGGCTCTCCCTTTCCTTAGCTTAAAATTGAGAGGCTCTGTGGCTGGGTGATGCTGCAGCCTTGCAACCACCAGGAAGAGGAACATTCATGCGAGAATGGAGCTGGCTCATAGAGAAAGGAGCCACAAGATGGACAGAAGGACGCTGGATCTTGGTGATGTGATTGGAGCTCCTGCACCAAGCTGTGCCTGGAGCTGCATTCTGGCTCTTCATCTACTTTTGCTCACACCAGTTTGGGTTGGCTTTACTGACACTTGAGACCAAAAGAGTCCTGGTTGGCCAAAGGGCTGGGCTTATGGTTAAAAAGATACTTTTGGTAAGAGACTTGCAAGGACCAGAGAAGTTCTCTGCCTGTCCTATCTTCATGGGGCTCCAGGGGGCCGTCGAGCCTGTCCTGGCTTCATGGAAGGGAGAACTCAGCACTTTGCTGGCCTGGATAGTCACGTTAAAGTCAGGCATTTTAATTAGGATGCAGATGAGAAGTACAGAAGTAACCCCTTCCCTGGAGTTCTCTGCTATGCTGTGGACTGAAGATGCTCCTGCTGGCTTCATCTAGTCTCTCTCTTTTGCCGTCACATCACAGGGATTGCCTCACTGAAGAATATGACTTATAGAGTCCAAATCAGGAACTACAAAGTGTGGAGTTCTCTGCTATGCTGTGGACTGAAGATGCTCCTGCTGGCTTCATCTAGTCTCTCTCTGTTGCCGTCACATCACAGGGATTGCCTCACTGAAGAATATGACTTATAGAGTCCAAATCAGGAACTACAAAGTAATGCAGAATAATGCAAGAAGTGCTCCAATAAAGGCTGCTACAGAAGGCACCCACCACAGGGCCTCCATAGCTCCAGGCTGATTAAGTGAACAGCAAGACGGCACCACCGCAGCAGGGGATTTGTGCAAAATAGCCCTGTCCGCCTGCTTGAATGTCAGATCCAGGGGGCAGGGGCTTTGTTCTGTTCACTGCCGCATGCCCCTCATGCCTACCACAGTGCTCGGCATATAGCAGGTGCAAAGTAAATATTTACTGAATGAGTCAACTCCCAGAGCCTCAGGAAACTCACTGGGAACAGGGACTGCTACAGGATTCCTTAGTGTTTCCAACCAATGCTGCAGCTTCTCCTCTCTCCAGGCAGAGCAGGGGTGGGCTCCCTGCTTCATGCCTGTCTGGACCAAGGGACTGTGAGTGAAAATGATACATCCTGCTCTTGGACGGAAGCCAGGTCTCCTCCTCCCACAATGGCACAGGGAACAACCCAGAGAGAGGAGTTGTTCTAGTGCTCCTGAGTGAAGGCCTCATGGAGCCGAGTCCCCAGCCTGGGCTGGATGTGCAGCACAGTCATGATGCAGACCTGCACTGTATAATCCCCTGAGACGGGGGTTCATTTGCTGCCGCAGCAGAACGTTGCACATCCTGACTGATATGCTGCACCAGTGAATAGCACAGGACAGTACAGCTGGTAATGGTGAAGTGAGTAGAGTCGCCTCATAGCCACATTTAACCTATATGAGCCATTTAATTAGCATGGCACATTTTACCTGCCATTCTACTCGATGAGTAGATGTGAGATTCGAGACAAAAAATGTGTGGGGCCTTTGAGCAGAGCTGGTTTCCACAGGCCCCTCAAGACATGAACATCACACTCTTTTATTGTTCATTCACGGGTTGTTTATTTGGTTTTTAGTGTCTGGCTACAATAGGGATAGAACCCTGGACCCTGGTGTTACCAGCATCACACTCTAACCAACAGAACTGACCAGCCAGCCATGCACTCTCATGATTCTAATTCTTCAAAATACATACTTTCTAGAAAATAGATCACTAATCTCAAAGCAGTAAAATTCACTGGTGTTTTGCCAAAATCAAAACAAAACCACCAGCTCCCATACTGGAAGAAAAATTGGCTGTGTCAGGGAGGGCACTGGGAGATATTACACCACCTGCTCCCTTCCTGGGGGATTTCCAAGGATAATTCTGTCCATGTGCAATGTTAGCCTTGCGTATTGACTTTAGAACCTTACCCTAATGTCTGAGGGGCCTCTACTTACAGAAAGTGAGTCCCTGCAGGGGGTTCAACCCTTTGTTGCCCACCCCAACCTCTGGGCTGTCACTAGCCGCAGGTGGGAGGTGCCGGGGAGCCCCAGTTGAGAATCTAGGTGAAGAGGCAGCTCAGTGCCCACATGACCCTCCCCGCCCACCACCCCAGTTCAAGCATGGAGAGAAAGACCTGTGGCAGGTGAGGGGATGAAGGGAACATGGCATTCATATACAAGGGAATGCTGTTCAGCCTTAAAAACAGAATGAAATCCTGACATTTGCAACAACATGGAAGATCCTGGAGGACATCATGCTAAGTGAAACAAGCCAGGCACAAAAAGACAAATACCACAAGATCTCACTTACACGCAGCATCTAAAAAGTCCAACTCACAGAAGCAGAGAAGAAGGGTGGTTTCCAGGGGCTGGGGGAGAAGGAAATGGGGGGATGTTGGTCAAGGGGCACAAAGTTTCAGTTGTGCAAGATGAGTAAGTTCTGGAGGTCTAACATACAGCCATGTGACTACGGCTAACAATACTGTACCATTTACTTGAGATTTGCTAAGAGGGTAGATCTTAAATGTTCTTACCACAAAAAAGAAAAAGTAACTATGTGAGATGAACATGTTAATTAGCTTGGCTGTGGTGATTATTTTACAATGTGTATGTCTATCAAATCATCACATCATGTACCTTAAATATATACAATTTTAATTGTCAATTAAACCTCAATAAAGTTGGGAAAATGTATAAAGAAACAAACACACTTAGAAGAAAAAAGAAAAAGAGAGAGAAGAAGCCCTAAGTAGTAACTCTTAAGAGGGGTCTTTGCCATTTCCAGTAAAGAATGTCCTGGGGAGATTTCCAGAAGTACATGAGCAGCTCTCTGCAGACATTCCCACCCCCAGCAGCCATAAGCTGCTGGGCACAGCAGGAAAATGCAGGAATAATGCTAACCATGAATGGGCCTTGCCAGCAGGGACCCCTGGGGGTGTGGTAACGGTTTGTTAATGAGCTAGGTTAATTAAGATGATGCATCTTCCAAACAGTTAAACAGAAGCCTTGGTACAAACCTGGTCCTCTATCAGGACTGGACCAATTGGCTTAGTAAAGGCACAGTACCATTTGGTTTTTTGGTTTTTGTTCTTAATCAGTGTCCATTTTCCATCATCATTAATTAAATCCCTTTTTTCCAGATCAGTCTCCACACCAACTCACTCAGGTACATCATGGCTCCCACCCCATGGGCCGGGAGCTCTTCACCAGCACCACATGTTCATGTGCTATGCCCAAACTGTTCACGCAGCACACCCAAGACTGATATTTTGAGAAGGGCCTGCTTGCAAAGATGAGCCTTGGCTGGAGCCTGGGAACTCGACTTCTAAATATTCCCTATGCTGATATGGAACGTTCTGTAATGAATAAAGGTATGTGCCATGCCTAGACTACACACACTGCAGCTTCTGCCAAACACCTACTTGCCTTCTGGGGGTGTGGGATTTTGGTGCAAGCCAGGCACAGGTGCCTGTGTGAGCAGTCCTAATAAAACTCTTGGTGCTGAGTTACTAAGGGGCTTCCCTGAGTGGCAACACAGCATTTTTGCTGCATCGAGGGGGGATTCTGTGTGGCCCTTCAAGGAGGAGAAGCACATGTAGTTTTTTCTTTTTCTTTTTCTTTTTTTTTAATTTGGGAAGAACTGAAACTGTTTTACACCTTTTGGATCCTTCAGGTTTCACTGCTCAAACATTGTTTCTCAGCAGCGTCTCCTCTGACCACCCATGTACATTGGCCTGGAGTCCCCTCTGCCTCAGCACTGTCTCCCTGCCTCTGTCAGAGCTGAGCTGCCTGCCTGTCTGGTGAACAGCTCAGCCTTGGCAGCCCTGATGTGGCCTGGGTGTGTGGCATGCCCAGTAGATGTGCTGAGGCACAATGCGATCTTGTTCCTCGTCTTGTCTTTCATAGCTGAGGCCAATGACTCTCTAAGCATCCTCCCTCACACGTGGACAGGAAGGAAGGATGTGAAAGAAGTAGAGAGATCATTTATCAAGATACAAGCAGCAGTACCTCATTTTAATAATAAAAAGCACCAAAAAGTATGTATAGTATTTTCTGATAAGAACTAGGAGAAATTTGGAAATCCTCTTTTTAAGGAAATTCCAAAGTGGGGTTCTAATACTCATCCCCCTTAAATTTAAAAAAAAAAAAATCAGCTTTTTAAACAGATAGATAGAGCTGGGCCTGCAACCCAGGTAACCTCTGTGCATCCCGGTTAACTTTCAGTGAGGAGAAAGTAGCACCTCCAGTGAGGTTTAATTAAATGATACCTGGGATCATTTTACCTGTGATCAAGACAAAAAAATATCTTATGCACACCTCTTTTTAAGGAAATTCCAAAGTGGGGTTCTAATTCCCATCCCCCTTAAATTTAAAAAAAAAAAAATCAGCTTTTTAAACAGATAGATAGAGCTGGGCCTGCAACCCAGGTAACCTCTGTGCGTCCCGGTTAACTTTCAGTGAGGAGAAAGTAGCACCTCCAGTGAGGTTTAATTAAATGATACCTGGGATCATTTTACCTGTGATCAAGACAAAAAAATATCTTATGTGCGCACACACACACACACACACACACAGAGAGAGAGAGAGAGAAAGAGAGAGAGAGAGAGAGAGAGAGGCAGGTAACCTGTGCTTTTGCCCACTCTGCCTCCTAAACCAAGATGTGACAGGTGAGGGCTGCAGTTCACCCCGTGACTATAGCTGCCTTTGATGGACAGAAGTTCCAAGCACACCATAATGTCACCAATACGTCTTTGGAATGAAAAGAAAGGAAAAACAGCTAAAGCAGAGAAATGAGCTTTGCAGAGCGCTTGGGGACCAGTCCAATACACACTTGCACAATAGTTACCAGTGTAGACTCCAGACCATGGCTGAGGTGTAGGGGGCATTGCGGTGGTGTGGGGGATGTCCAGGCACTGACCTTTGCCAATGGAGGTTGCTAGTCCATTCACGAACTGTGGGAATGGCTTGGTGGGGGCCGAGGGAATGTCCAAGAAGGCCCCTGAGCTGCCCAGAAGGTCGATCTTCCCAGCGTGCTGCCGGAACTTCTCCAAGTCCCGCGACAGCAGGTTGAACTGCTCACTCTGTGTCCGGCATTTCTCTTCCAGTTCTCGAACTTTGGACTGCATGGCAGAGGCAGGACATGGGGTCAGCGGGTGTGTACACACACATATGTTGTGTGTGTGCAAGAGTGTGCATGTATGCCCGTGTGTGCACATGTGTTCATGTATACGTGTGTGCATGTTTGTGTACGTCCCCGTGTTGTGTGAGAGAGCATGCATGTACATGTATAAATGCGTTCATTCGTGTGTGCATGCACGTGTGTGTGTGCAGGAGTGTGCACATGTATGTGCGTGTATGCGCATGTATGCATTTGTGTGTGTGCATGTGAATGTATACATGTGCGAGTGTATGCTTGCAAGAGTGTGTGCATGTGTGCACATGTATACATGTATGTGTGCTTGTGCGTGTGTGTGTGTATATGGCAGGACTTCCTCCCACCTCCGTAGGAGAGCAGTGTCTGATCCACCCAGCTTCCATGCAGCCTGGCTGCTGGCCAATGTGAGAAACCACAGGTGCCAGGAAATCTTGCAAACACTTAGCTCCCAGCCAACTGTGGATTGTTCTGGGATCTGTGTGAAACCCAGGCACTTTGTGGTTGGCACGCCTTGCTGTAGCTCTTTGAAATTTGGAGTGTGAGACTGTGACATAGCCCAGATTCGGGGGACAGCTCAGTTGCTAACCCAGCAATGTGCTTTTTTTCTCATTGGAGGCAACAGCCCCAGATACTGCCGAACCCCAAAGAACATCACTTTTACCAATAAAAGAGGATTTCTATCTGCTGGGTGTGGTTAGCAACATCACTGCATTTGCCAACATCATGAAGACACCTCAGGAAACCTGGGGAAGGGCAGGAGTCTGCCTCAGGGACTCAGGAATAAAAAGAGCAGGCCAGCGAAGCTCCCTCCTCGGCAGAACAGGCTGGGGCTAACCAGTGGCCAGTCTTGGGTTATCTCTGATCTTTGCAGCTCTCTCCCTCTCCCTGGGGACTCACGGTCTAAGGGAAGCATTGTCTCCTGCAACAAGAGTTTCTAGCATGGTCACAGAAGGTGCACGCATCGAGGAGGGTGTATTGAGGGTTCTGCGCCAACTCCTCGCCCTGCAACCCTTGCCTCTTGTGCTTACCGCCACCTGACATTTTATTAGCTCCTTGATTATTTGCTTCTCGTCTGTTTCCACGGCTGGAGCATAAGCTCCAAGCCTTTGCTTTCTGGTTCACTGGTATATCCTCCACATGTGGCATACGATCGGGCACACTATAGGTGCTCAATAAATGTTTGCTGAATCCATAAAAAGAAGGGAACCTGAGGTGCAGGTACCATGTTCAGTCTGTGTGCAAGTCCTGCCTGTTGCCCTTCCTCACTCTAGGACAGCTGGAAAAATCCCACTGGCGATATCATTAACGTTGTGTATTGTTTGGCTTCCTCTCCCTCCTCCTCACTCCTCTTCTTTCTCTTCCTCCCTCCTCTACAGGCATTAAGTTTCTCGGCTCCTTAGTCCAGAATGAAATGCTATTTATGTCTGAGATCATACATTTCTAAAAATAAACCTAACAAATCCCAATCCTATAATTAATTTCTTCAATTCATTAAAAAAATCAGCAGGATTCTTCTTTTAAAAAGCTGAATGAACTGGGCCAAGAAAAGCACAGAACTAAAAATCAGGAGCTCCTGGGCACAGGTGGGATCTGGAGAGCACTGGAGAGGTCCAACCGCCCAGAGCCAGACTCTGACCCAAAGAGCAGGGTCGCATCAGCTTCCTGGAGGCCAAGGGCTCTGGCTCCACTCTCTTGGCCCTTAAGACAGATCCACAACAGAGAACAGCTGCCACACGACCATCTCGGGCAGGGAATGGCATTAGAAGAGCCTGAGCTCACCTGTGTTATCCAAGTGAGCTGCCAGGTGCCCAGGTGGCAGGTGAGACTTCTAGGGGATGTGGAAGGACAGAGAACAGCATTTTAATAGTCATGCATTCATTTTAAAGTGCATTAGGAAAAGTGTAACTAGCACACCAATGCCTCAGTATCATGTGTATATAAAAATGACCTAACTAAAAAAGTGGATAGAATTTTCATTTACATGACATTCTTGAAATGACAAAATTCTAGTGATGGAGACTAGATCAGTGGTTGTCAGGGTCTGGGGTAGGAGAGGGTGTGACTGTTAAGGGGTAGCTAGAGGAAGGGTCCCTATGAGCTCTCTGTGCTGTTCTGTAACTTCTTGTGATCTAAAATTATTTCAAAATAAAAAATTTTAAAAAGCAAGTACATTTTTAAAATTATGAAATAATAATATAAATATGCAGTGAAGACATATATTTACAACAGCATATATATCACAGCAGTACATACGTGGCTGGTGTTTTGGGACATCAAACCAGACCAAGGCGTGTTGAGCTAATGTGCTGGGGTCAGGATTCACACTCAGACCCTCTCACTGTAGAGCCCCCCACAGCCAGTGCTTCTGTGGGGCCAGGCTTCACGTTGTCCCCCAAGTGTGTTCTGGTTGTGGGGCTCCTGCCTGATGCCTTCACGCTGCAGTTCCCAGCTGTCCTGTGCCTCAGCTCTGCCATCTATTAAATAGCAGTGATGATTGAACCTACTTTGTAGGATTAGTGTGAGGACTGAATAAGTTATTATGTGCTAAGTATCCAGAAAAGTGATGGCAGATAGGAATGCTAAGCACATGGAGCTGTAATTAGTAGTAGCAGTAGTACTAGCAGCAACAACAGTAACGTTAGCAATAATACCTGTAATAGAGGTAACGATAGCAGTACTAGTACTGGTATCAGTATTAGTGTCAGTAGCATTGGTATTATTTTTTTTATTTTATTTTTTTTTCCTTTTTGTCTTTTTTTTTTTACTGACTAGGTAACGATAGCAGTACTAGTACTGGTATCAGTATTAGTGTCAGTAGCATTGGTATTATTTATTTTATTTTATTTTTTTTTTCTTTTTGTCTTTTTTTTTTTACTGACTGGCAACAGGATCGCAAACCTCGGTGTTGCGCCTGCACCTCGCTCAGCCAGTGAGCGGGAACCAGTCTCCACATGGGATCCGAACCCTTGGCGGGAGCGCCGCCGCGCTCCCAAGCGGCACACTCTCCAGCGCGCCACCGGGCCGGCCCGGTATTATTTTTATTATTCACAGTAGGAGTACTAATATTATTATTACCTGTAGTAGTAAGAGTATCGATATTGGTACTTGTAGTATCAGTAGTAGGAGTAGTAGCAGCAGTAGCACTGGCATTACTAATAGTAGTAATAGCGTTATTACTATTATTTGTAGAAGTAATAGTATTGGTATCATTAGTAGCAGCAGCAGTAGTACTGGTATCAGCAGTATTAGTGTGAGTATTAATGGCAGCAGCATAGTAACAATGGTATCTTTTGTAGTAGTAGCAGTACTGGTATTATTGGTATTATTATGATTATTATTTGTAGTACTAGCAGCACTAGTAACAATGGTGGTATTGTCGTTATTATTATTTGTTGTTAAAGTTGTAATGGTATTGGTATTAGTAGTATTGGTTTTAGTAGTATTAACACTAGCAGTAGCAGCAACAATGGTAATACTTGTGGTATTGTTATTATTACTAGTCGTAGCAGTAGTAGCAGTGGTAGTATTGGTATTATTTTTACCATTATTATTATTATTTGTAGTATAAGCAATAATGGTGGTATTATTTGTTGTAGTAGTAGTGGTACTGGTATTAGTGGCATTAATAATAGTAGTAGCAGCAGTAGTAATAAGGGTGGTGGTGTTATCATACTAGTCATAGCAGCAGCAGCAGTAATAAAGGTGGTGTTGTTATTATTACTAGTCATAGCGGAAGCAGCAGTAGTAATAAGGGTGGTGGTGTTATTATTACTAGTCATAGCGGCAGCAGCAGTAGTAATAAAGGTGGTGTTGTTATTATTACTAGTCATAGCGGAAGCAGCAGTAGTAATAAGGGTGGTGTTGTTATTATTACTAGTCATAGCGGCCGCAGCAGTAGTAATAAGGGTGGTGTTGTTATTATTACTAGTCATAGCAGCAGCAGCAGTAATAAAGGTGGGGTTGTTATTATTACTAGTCATAGCGGAAGCAGCAGTAGTAATACGGGTGGTGTTGTTATTATTACTAGTCATAGCGGCAGCAGCAGTAGTAATAAGGGTGGTGTTGTTATTATTACTAGTCATAGCGGCAGCAGCAGTAGTAATAAGGGTGGTGTTGTTATTATTAGTAGTCATAGCGGCAGCAGCAGCAGTAGTAATAAGGGTGGTGTTGTTATTATTACTAGTCATAGCGGCAGCAGCAGTAGTAATAAGGGTGTTGTTATTATTACTAGTCATAGCA